CAAACCCACTGCCATCTAGAGTCAGTTCCAACTCACAGCAGCAGCCCTCCATCGGGCTCCCGAAGCTACAAAATCATCTTTTTCTCTCAGAGCTACAGGAGATGCACAGCCTTAATTCACTGGGTCAGCAGAATAATTTGCTACAGACTATGCCCCCTGCACTCCCTAATGAAAGCAAAAAGCTACACTGATATAAAACTCCCATAATAATGCTGTCTTCTTTTTTGGGGTGGGGAGAGGGGTTTGCCTTATGCCTTCAGAAAGGGACACACACACACACGACAGTACAACTTACTCTTCAGAGGACCAAGTTCATGTCCTTGGCTTTTTCATCCACTGTCCATTTTAAACAAATAAGCATACTAAAATGGTGACAATTTTAGGTTTTTTTCCCCCCTTTTCTTTTTTTTCTCTCCCCCTCAACCCCCCCCACCTCCACTTCGCTCCTCTCCTTGAAAAGCAAAAAAAAAAACTCCTGCATTGTTACACAATCCCGCCCCTTCCCCCCCAACACACACACATCCCCACCTCCACCCCAAGTATACTCCACTCTAAAAACCTCATTCCGGACTCTTATGATAATCATAATGCCCTAAAATATATTAATTTTAAACTATTCTCTCCCTCATTTGCTTCAATGCAGTAAACATAATTTATCCAGTTTTTCTTAGTCTTACCCCCACCCAATGTCAGCCTCATTCTACAACAGTGGCACCATATAATATTTGTCCTTTTGTGACTGAGATATTGCACTCAACCTAATGTCCTCCAGGGTCACCCATTTTGAATAATATTGCATGAGTTCCTTGTTTTTCAATGCAGCATAGTATTCCACTGTGTGAACATACCACAGCTTCTCTATCCATTTGTTTGTTGATGGGCACTTAGGTTGTTTCCAACTCCTTACTATTGTGAACAAAGCCTCAATAAACATGGGTGTGCATATACTGCTTGGATGTTGTTTATGGTCTCTTTAGGGTATATTCCCAGTAGTGGAATTGCTAGGTCAAATGGTATCTCTATTTGCAACTTTTTGAGAAAGTGCCACACCACTTTCCACAGTGGATGCACCATTTTACACTCCCACCAACAGTGAATAAGGGTTCCAGTTTCTCCACAACCTCGCCAGCATTTGTTGCTAGCTGTTCCGTTAAATTTTGCTATTCTTACTGGGGTAAGATGATATCTCATAGTTGTCTTGATTTGCACTCAGGGCTAGGGATTTTGAACATTTCTTCATGTGATTGTTGGCCATCTGGAAGTCGTCTTTGGTGAAGTGTCTGTTCATATCCTGTGCCCATTTTTCTATTGGATTGTTTACCTTTATCTTGTTCTGGTGTCCCCCTTTTTCTTAGGAGAAAGTTTAGACGGGATCTCCACTGATAATCCTCTATGGAATAGTACTGTGACCAGCACGTAGCAAGTTCTCAGATATTCATGAAATAATTGTTAATAGTTATATTACAACTTACCAGGTACTTTCTATTAACTTACATTAACTCCTCAAAACCTCAGAAGTCAGTCCTATTACAACACCCATTCCAGATAAGAAAAAATGAAGTGCCCAAGTGATGTGCCCAAGTCAATTTAGCTAGTGAAGAGTGGCACCAGTGTTTAAGGAATGAAGCACAGATTAAAGCATTCCAATGACACAACTGAGTCATTCCAATTTCGGAAGATCTAGAGTGTCATGATAAATTTCAACAGCTAAGAACTCTACTGGATCATTTAGCAAGAAAAATACTTTCCCCTCTGCCACTTTGTAACACTCAATTCCTCCTTCAGAAGTGCTCTAAAACTTTCTCTCATTCATTTCACAAAGAAATAGCAATGGAGACCTAAGGTTCTCTCTGTTTCTCCCTCCCTCCCTCCCTCCCTCTCTCTCTCCTAGACGCACTGCCACCCAATCCTATTCCACATACTTTGTAAACTTCTAAAACACTAGGCACGTTATATTCTCTACTCTCTTCCACCACTATTAATTAACCAAAACCCACCCAGTGGTGGCATAGAAAAAAGGCCTGGTGACAGTCTATCTGCTTCCATAAAGATTACAGCTAAGAAAACCCACAGAGCAGTTCTAGTGCATAACATGCACAGTCTGCAGTCGGAATCGACAGGATGGCAGCCAGTTCTAGACGCACATGTCCATTCTGAAACTAAAACAGTGAGAGCTCTGGTGCCTAGTGGCAAGAAGCCATGCTGCAATCCTGAAGGCACACAGTTCGAGGTCACCAGCCACTCTGCGGGAGAAGGATGGGAAATCTCCTATGTGATTAGCTCCCTCTGAAAACCTGCCAGAGGGTCAGCTATGGGTCCGTTCCAACTCAATGGTACAAAACAACAACAGAGGTTGGTTAGACTAGAAACCAAGTGTTTCTTCCCTTAACTCTAAGTTTCTATTATCCAGGAACTAAACATTTAAAAAAGTAAAGTTGAAACAGTCTCTGAACTTGATCTTACAAAGATGGCCTATAAAAGGAGAGAACAAGAGCTAGTTGTCTTTTAGGGAGTGGCTTCTACTTACTAACATGATTACCTAATGGCTGGGGAACCGGCATCCTCAAAATATACATCTAGTCAGCTGCACCTCCCTGATGTTCATTTCTTCCCTCCACAGAGAAAAAGCTCCACATTAAAAGGAATGAAACCACCTTATAAAGCAAAGTCGACTTGCTCTGGTCTTGCTATCTTCACCCTCCACCAGTTATTATTGAAGATGATCAGACTCCAGAGGGTGAAGAGGGTTAAATACTCAAAGATTAATATTCGATGCCATCAACTAGCAAAGCCACTGAGACTAAACACCAAGGAACACTGTACTTCTAAACGTGGTTTTCAAAGAATAAAAACAGGAGCCAACAGGAGTTCCTTGAATACCTCCATATGTCCGAACTCCGTCTATGCTCTGATTTTTGTTTAGGATTTTTTTCCCTTTAGACACTCTAAAATAAAGTTATTTTAAAACAGTAATCATAACAGAAGGAGCTCTGGTGGCCTAGTGGTAGAAACTGTGCTGCAATCCCAAAGGCCCATGGTTCGAATACACCAGCTGCTCCACAGGAGAAGGATGGACAATCTTCTCCCATTTGATTAACTGTCTCGGAAAACCCACTGGAGGGTCACCTATGCATTGGTTCAGACTCGACGGTACACAACAACAACAAACATAACCGAGAGTTTTTAGACAGGCTACAAGAAGAACATAAGGGGTAAGGAAAGGGTGAAACAAACACTGGGAACAAACACTAAAAACATCAGACTGTCTTATTAGTTGCTTTCTGACAGTCTCACAGAAATTGTTTCCCTCTAGAAAACCTGGGAACAGCAAATATTCGGACATAACTGTTGACTGCAACTTTGAAAAAGCTAAGGCTGCTCCTTCCATAAAGTATAATAAATGAGGTTTTTTGGTTTTGTTTTCATTTAGAGTAAAATAAGGAGTCTGGTGGGGCAATGGCCAAGCGCTTGTTTGCTAACCAAAAAACTGGTGGTTCTTCCAATCCAAGTGTGTGTGAGAAAGATACCGCAGGAGAGAAAGACGAGGCTGGCTACTTCTGTAAAGATTATAGCCTTGGGGGGGAGTGTGGACGCAGAGGTGAGGCTATGTGGGGGAGAAGGAGTAATCATGCTCTGGGGTGAAAAACAATGTATTTGAATTTTGTAAATAAACTAGTATAAAAAGTAAAAAACAAAATGAAAAACTACAGCATTGGAACCACCATGCGGTCATGCTACTGTGTCTGACAGGGTTCTTAAAAGTCAGAATCAGCTCTACCGCCATGAGTTTTTGTTTAGGTCAGGCCAAATCTGAATCGTACTCACACTTTTTATTCTCACTTCTGGAGTCTCAGATAAATAAAGGATATCTTAGCATACACTTTCAGGACCATAGAAGAGTTGAACAATTTATTCTGTTCTGCACTCTATGTTCAAGTTTGCAATCAGTATCTCAGTGTTTCCAAAAATGCACCTGTGGCCCACCTGCATCCAAATCTCCTGGGGCTTTTTATCTTTCAATTCTCAGGTTTCCTTCAGTAGACCTACTCAGAATCCATTCTGCAGAATCTAACACATTGCTTTTTTATCAGCGCTCTGAATATACTCCAGTTTGAGACTCAGGAAATTGCACCTGACTGACTTCTTTGCTATGCTGTCTCCCCAAGGTACCCACATAAGATGCCAGCTCCTTCTCTCTTCCAACCTAAGTTATTTACTAATTAGACTTAGGAGATAACTCTCCAACTCGCCACTGACACAGCTTAAGATGGAGAAAGAAGGTAGGAAAAGATCTAAGACTATAAATGACCGTAGGTGCTGTGGCATCTCTACACAGTCCCAAAAGAATTATGTGGACAGAACGGGCTCCTGCTTCTAACTTCTTCACCTTCAGCATAGGCAACAACTCTGCCAATTGCTGAATTCCTGACACCGGTAAGATACAATTTCCTTTGATGATCCCCGGTGTCCAGTTGGGAGTACATTTCTTACATCTTCATAGATGATCGGTGTAAATGCATTTTGCAACACACACACACACACACACACACACACACACACACACACCCCTCTCTACAACTCAGAGCCGCCTCTGGGTTTAGCAGCACCCTAACTCCTTTTTTCCTACCCCTCCCCCTACTTCTCCATCCCTAAACTGATATTCTTACCCACAACTACCCAATCCTAACTCGGACAACTTTCTCTCTCTCTCCCCGATTAACTTTTGCCCTCTCCAAAGCCGGCCCTCCTCCAGGGCCCACTCTGGCAGCTCTGGCCTCCGGTGACCCTTGCCCCCCGCCCCCCCATCCCGCCGAGGCCTGAGCGCCCCTCCCCTCCCCCACCCCGGGAGCTGCCTTCCCACGGCATCCCCGCTCCCGCGGCCCAGGCCCCTGACTCCCACTCCCCGCCTCTACTCCGGGTTGTTTCTGGGGGGGCCAGGGTGCGGTCCACGTTCCAGTTTGCTTCTCCGGTGCTTTTTTCCTTAGCGCTGCCCTCCTTACCCGGCTGCTGCCCGATTTCGGCGACATCGCTGGCAAGGCCAGGCTCGGAACCCTCGCCGCCCACGGGCGAAGAGGGACAGCTGTGGTCGTGGGAACATTTGATGTCGCGGAAAAACTTCTGAGTCTCACGCAGGTTCTGTCTGAGCCGCCCCAGGTAGCGGCGGTAGCGTCCGAAGCCCCGACACAGCTCGCGGATCATCCCACCGCCTCCCGGGCCGGGACCGGAGATGGGCTCGCTGCCCCACGGCACCCCGTCGCCTTCCATCGCTTCTACCCCCTTGGTCTTCGCGGTTCGGTCTCCGACCGCTGGCCCGGCTTCCCTCCTCCCCGCCCCCCCCAGTGCTTAAGGGAGGAGGAATCCGCCTCCTGACGCCCCCGCCTGCAGTCGGCCGGGCTCCCAACTCCGTCACCGCGGTTGAAAACAAACCAACCCGCAGTGCGCCGCAAACGGAACCTTTTATCTCCACTATCTGGAGGAGTCAGGGAAGGATCACAGGAGGGCGCCGTGGCTGCGAAGCCTCCTGGGATTTGTAGTTTGGACTAAGCCTGAGCTCCAAAACAAGGCGCTGCAGAACAGGGTATTGTGAATGGGAGTGATAAAGAACCCCTGTGGCAAAACCTCTTCCAGTCTCGTGCTTACACGCGCTCATGATTTAAAAACTTTTTTCTGCATAACCCTCCCTAAAGAGAGAGAGGACCTTCAGATTCTGGACGACCAGCATATGTGAGGTGCCTTTGCTGAAATCAGAGTCAAAGATTTTAGCAACGAAGAAAAGGAAGGAAACAAGACAGAGACCAGTTATATCTCCTTGGTTACCCTAAATACTCCCCCTCTTTCCGGAGACAGCAGATAATGGGAAATTGGCTGAAAATACACTGGAATAGGGAAATCCCTCTTGCTTGTATCTGCTTCTCTTTCCCAACTTTCCTTCCCCGGAATGGGAACCCAAGATGCGAGCAGTTACAAACATGAAAAGTGGCAAACTGAAGACGTTCGGTGGTTTCTTGAAGTAGGGAAAGCAGGCTAGGAAGGGGAAGTTGAGGTTTGTCGTCTTCTAAACCAATTTAGATCATCTTAACTTGGATTCTGCTAATAAAGACTTTCGTTGACGCAGAGGCTGACATGGCGCCCCAGATACACACGAAAGTTGACCCAAAAGTTGACAGTCCCCTCTTTTGAGCTTTCCACTTTTCTCTCCTTCTCTGACACCTATGGAGTACATTTCAAAATCACCCTATAGGGTTTCCAAGACAGATCTTTCTCCCCTAGAACTGCTTTTTTGGGTTTGAACCAACTGACCCCTTTAATTACTGCTCCACCACACCTCTCATTAGATACTGTTATTGTGTGCTATAAAGTAGGAGCTGACCCATAGCTGATCCTCCAGTGGGTTTTCAGAGGCAATAATCTCTTGAGAGGAGATTCCCCATCCTTCTCCTGAAGAGCAGCTGGTGGATTCAAACTGCTTGCCTTCAGGATTGTAGTGAAGTTTCTTACCACTAGGCCACCAGAAACTTCTTATCCTTTGTCTTTTTTGCTATAGAAAATCCCATCTTTTACCCAGGCCAGACCTCTTCTCTACTAAACTAAATAATGTAGTGAAAAGTACTAATTCACTCATTGTCTTCTGGTTGGAACTGAGTCATGGCTGACACTCCATTCACTTTTCCAGGCTCTGAATCACAAGGGAGAACTTTACCCATCTTTCTCCCAAAAGGGCAAAGAGGAAACAAATTCAGTGGTTTAATTTCTCCATTGGTTTGCTTTACAACGGCAAGGATGTGTTTCATCATCAGTGAAATAACTGTTTGGACTAGTTGATTTTTAAACCCCCGAGCTCTAAAATTTTGTGAGTCCCTAAAAAGTTGACTTCTTTATCTCAACCTCTCACTCTTGAAAGCAGATGCTCTGAGCTAAGTGATGCAATGACTGTTGGATTAATCCTTTTTAAGATATGAAGCCCTTGTGGGGGCTTATAAAAAGGATTTTATGAAAAGACTCATTCTGGCTGTGTAGTCCACAGAGTGTTGTGTGACTAACCCAAAGGGCGTGTCTCTCTAGCTGTTCAAATTCACCAGCAGCCCTGTGGGGGAAGGATGGGCAGTCTCCTTCCATGCAATTTACGGCTTCTTGAAAAACTTATAAATATATGGTCAATGGCTCTCCTAGCTCTCCTGTAGTCTCTCCTTTCTCTTATTTGGTTACTTCTCCACTGGCCGTCCTAAGTCTTTGGAAGACCTCAATGCAATTCCCAAAAGGCTCAGTAAAACATAAATGAACATACAAATTGGAAAGACGGTGTTGATACTATTTTTTAAAACTCAAGTAGCCATAACAATATTTGATGATCTGCCACACACAATAATTTCTAACAAAGGTCAGCTGAGAGGGCACTTAAATTGGAGGTGTCCAGATTAGAAATTAGAAACTAAAATCTAACTTAAATAAAAGATAAAAGTTGAATAGGTAGACATAATCAATGAGGATATTTCAAGTAGAGATCATATAAAGAGGGGAAATGGAGAAATGCAGAAGTAAAAGAGATGCACAGAAGATTTCCAAGGGCAGCTTGAGAAGACAAAGCAAAGCTAATGCTATTTTATAAAAAAATATAATGCTATTTATAAAAAAAGCTAAAGCTCATTATAGTTAATAGAATGTGCAAAGAGCTGGAGTTGGAGAATAAAAAGGGAAGAACTCAATTGTAATTTCTCAAATTGAAAGAACTAAAAAAATAAATTCAAGCCTCAAGTTCCATTACTAATAAATGCTATGGGCAAAATCTTGAATGATTCAGGAAGCTTCAAAAGAAGAGGGAAGGAATATATAGACTCACTATCAAAAAGAATTGGCTAACACTGAAATATTGAGGAAGTACCATATGAACAAGAACCAATGGGAATGAAGGAAGAATTTCAAGCTGCATTGAAGTCATTATCAAAATATAAGGCCCCAGGAATCAATAAAATATCAATTGACATGTTTCAATTAATAGATGGAGCTCTGTACTTGCTTACCAGTTGATGCCAGGAAATTTGGGGGACAGCTACTTGGTTGACCGACTGGAAGAGGTCTATAATATGTATTCCTATTCTCAAGAAAGGTCATCCAACAGAATGTAGAAATTATTTTGAAAAAAGATCCTTAATATCACCAATATATTGCTGAAAAACATCCAAAAATATCTAGGAAAGTACACTGAGAAATAACTTCTAAAATTTCAAACTGCATCAAGGATATCATTACTGAAGTCACATGGATCCTGGTTGAAAGCAGAGAATACTGGAAGAGTGTCAATTTGTGTTTTATTGAATATGAAAAGGCATTTTTGACTGTGAGATCATAACAAACTATGGCTAATATTAAGAATGGAAATCCCAGAAGATTTAATTATGCTATATGAAACCTAGACCTAGACCAAGAGGCTGTTGTCCAAACAGAGCAAGGGAAAACTACATGGTTTAAAATCAGGAAAGGCACGTGCCAAAAATATATCCTTTCTCCATACCTATTCAAACTGTACACTGAGCATATCATTTGAGAAGTCAGACTCTGAAGAAGAATGTGTCCATCATGATTGTAGGAAGACTTATCAACAACTTGCATTATGGAGATGACACAACTTTGCTTGCTAAAAATGAGGAGGACTTGAAATACTTGCTGTAGAAGATCAAGGACTATTGCTGTGTACCATTGACTTGAAACCAACTCAGAGCTGACCTTCAAGCAGGTTTTCAGAGGCAGTTAGTCAAATGGGAGGAGATTGCCCATCCTTCTCCTACAGAGAAGCAGGTGGATTCGAACAGCGTGACTCTGGGATTGCAGTGCAGCTTCTTGCCACTTGGCCAACAAAGCTCCCTAGATCAAGGAGTACACCCTTAAATATGGATTACATCTCTACATCAAGAAGACAAAAATCATCACCACTGTACCAATAAGCAACATCATGATAGATGGAGAGAAGACTTGAATTTGTCAACCATTTCATCTTACTTGGATTGACAATCAATACTTTAGCACCACCAGTCAGAGATTAAGAGATGTATTGCACTGGGCAAATCTGCAGTGAGAGACTTCTCCAAATTACTGAGAAGCAATGATGTCAGTTTAAAGAGTAAGGTGCACCTGATTCAGGCCATGGTCTTTTAATTACTTGCTATGCTCTGATGGCCTAGTGGTAGTAAGCTGCACTGCAATCCCAAAGACACATGGTTCAAATGTACTAGCTGCTCTGTGGGCGAAAGATGGGCGATCTCCTCCTGTGCTTCTTAAAAACCCACCAGAGGGTTGGCAATGGGTTGGTTCTGACTTTATGGTACATAACAACAAAACCACATCTGAGAGCTGGACAGTGAGTAAGGATGCTTGAAGAAGAATTGTTGCTTTTGAACATGGTGCTGGAGAATATGGAATAGACTGTCAAAAGAACAAAGAGGCCTTGGGAAAAGAGGAGCCAGAATGCTCCTTGGAGGCAAAGATGACAAAGCTTTGCCTCACATACTTTGGAAATGTTGCTTGCTGTTGTTGATAAGTGCCATCATGTCAACTACAACTCACACAGGTGCTATGAACAATAGCTCTGAACTCTGCCCTGTTCTGAGCCAATCTCACTGTCTCTGACACAACAGCCCCCAGTGCCACAGTCACTGTGTCAATCCATCTATCTCATCCAGGGTCTTCCCCTTCTGTCCTGATCCTTCACCCTTCCAAGCATGATGTCCTTCTCCATGGACTGATGCTCCCTGGAAACACAGACAAAGTAGATGGAGATCCACAGTCCTTGCCTACAAGGAGCAACTTGGTTTCACCTTCTCTGGATCAAACCTGTTTGTTCTCTTGGCAGTCCATGGCATGTTCAATACTTTTCTCCAGCATCACTACTCAGACATATAATTCTTTTATCATTGTTAGTTATTGTCCAGCTCTCTGATGCACAGCAAGTAATTGAGAAGACCACAGCTTGGAATAGAAGCACTTTAGTATCTAGACTACATCATTGCACCTTAGCACTCTGAAGAGCTCCCTGTAAGCAGACTTTCCCAAAGCAACTTATCTTTTTATTTCCTGACTACTGGTGCCAAGAACATTGACTGTGGACCCAAGCAAGACAAAAATGTTAACAATCTTAATCTCTTCACCATCTAGCATGATGTTGCCAGTTGGCCCAGTGGTGAGAATTTTTGTGTTGGTTTTTTTTTATTTTTATTTTTTGTGTATGTACCATCAAATCAATCTGACTGGTACAGGAGGAGATTGTCCCTCCTTCTCCAGCAGAGCATCTGGT